TATATAAGGATACACGTGGGTGGAAGGGGAGAAAACACCCAAGACTTCCAGAGTTCTCTTCTTCTTCTTTCTTCCTTGTGCGTGTGAACCAAATCAAAGGTAAGATTTCTGATTATTGAGTTTATCGTTAAATTTAATATTGGGTTTTGATTATTAGATGATAACTAAGCTTAAGGAAAGCTTAAGTTATCTTAACATCAAAGGATGATTGAGTTATGAGAGATTTAAGATTTGAAGTTCTTAAATGAAATCTTGGAATAGAGTTCATAACTAGAGTTGAAAGTTAAATTTGACTTGTCATCAATCTAGTTAAGATATACGAAGTGTTAAAAGTGGAATTCAAACATGTTGATTTATTAATGTAATTCTTGAATTATATATGAAGGATAGGATTTGAAGGTTTAAGATGAAATAAACGAGTATAAATTGGTTTAAGGATGTGTACTAGAGTTAAGAATGGAAAAGGGGATTAAACATGAAGGATTTAATCCAAAATGAATGAATTTTCGGGTTCAAAAAGAGGATTCTGGGCGCATCGATGCATATTCATAGTGCATCGATGCATCAAGGTTAAAACCCAGAAAGTGTTTGAAGGTGTATCGATGCACAGGTAGTGCATCGATGCACTCTTTTAAAATAAAAAGATCGAATGCGATTAGTGCATCGATGCATAAGGCATGCATCGATGCATCCCATTAATAATAAAACATCGAATGCATTTTATGCACCGATGCACAAGTAGTGCATCGATGCATACCTTCATTAAAAGAGGAAATTGACATTTATCTTAATCTAAAGAGTGAACCATTAGAGTATATTAGCTATAATACTGATATAGATCCATGTGTGATTATGTAGATACGAAAAGTAAGATTATTCCGGAACGATCAAAGGATTAGAATCGAATAAAAGCAAAGCTAAGGTGAGTGCATACTATATGTATAGTATAATGGAATAAGACTTGTGATAAGTCTAATTCCTATATTGATTTTCATAGTACAATAGTTGTGAGCATGCATACATGATAATTATTGTAATACATGCATAAGGCATATATATATGTTCATGTGATTGGATAAATGATGTATATATATGAATATATTCAAATACACATGTGATATGTGATATGAGAACATGACATGAGCTACATGATCACAATAGATATGACATGAGCTACATGATCACAAGAGAAATAACATGAGTACATAAACATATGAAATATAAGAATAATGCCCATAGTATACGTTATGAGAGCTATAGGTGTAATTGGCATGCCAAGAGTCGAGGGTATAATAGTCCTTCAGGGCGTAGTCCTTCGGAACGTAGTCCTTCGGGATGTAGTGGTCCTACGGGACATATATGACAGTCCTTCGGGATGAATACTGAACTAAGGTTCGGTGCCCCATGAGGGAATTGATACGAGCTGTGGTGACAACATTAGTGCACAACCTCAATGCACTCACATACCTCTATTCTCAATAATATACATGGGCAATTGAAATACAAAGTAAAGTGAAAGTGGTACAAGAAGGTAAGTTTTGTACATGCATGATATGATTATATATGTTATTGTGTAATAGATACATGCATATTGAAATGTCATGAAGGAAATAGTAAGAATGCATATTCATGAAGATATTGTTGCATATTCGTTTATTGCCTCACTAAGTCTATGACTTAGCGTGTAAGCGATTTACACGTAGGTACCAAGAAATAAGAAGATTCAGAATAGCAGTGGCACGGACAACAACATTACTAAGAAATCAGATCAGAAGTAATTGACAAAGTAGGTATTTTGTTGTGTATAAAGTGTTGGTATGTAATAAGTGGTTAATTACGAATGCTCTTATTGATTTTGTATTAAGTGGTCTCTTTTATGTAAATTAATGTATTTTGTTTTAATGAAAGTTTTAAATTCCCGGGATTTTTCTTTAAGAATCAAAGTTTGAAAAGTCAATGTGACATCTCGGACTTGTATTCAGGTCGAATATGAGTTAGGGGTGTTACAATAATATTATGCACTTATATGGGTCTCACTAGCCAATTCGAACACTTATGACTTTTGTACAATCTTATAGATTTGAATCGTCTTGGACTTGTCTTCGATCGATATCTTTAAAACTGGAGCTCTCAGCAACGAGGAAGAAGATAACAATGTTCCATACTTCTTCTTTTTCTTTCTCCCATTATCCACGTGTTTACATCCCTAAAAAATATAAAATAAAAATCTTCCCTTAGAAAAGACCATAATACCCTTATTATTTTCAAACTTTATCATTAAATCCAACATCAAGATTCTCCAGTTAAATCCTTGAACTTATTAATTTTTCTAAAATTGATCATCAAATTTTAAAAACTTACATTTTAGTCACTAACCCGATTTTTGAGATGTTACAATAGTGGTTCCAAACCCCTATATAAATAATTTTTTATGGTTTCTAAACCTCAAATTTCTTACAAACATTTTTTACTCTCGGTCACCAAGTCCAATGCCCCCAAAACTTCATACCAAACGTTATAGGACTGGTCAAATTTCCAATTCACAAATTTTAAATTTTCAAAATTTTGAAAGATTATGCTTTCCTAATTATGAATCTCTTTCCCGTTGCCATGCACACTATATCACTCGTCCAATTCGACCCGAACGAAATTTTGATATGAATTTTCTTACTTAGACTGAATATGAATTCAGTTTTTAGTGTACACTTATTGATTGGAATTGGATTCCATTCATCTCGATTGAGCCTTCTATTCACCCTCAATTTTTTCGAGCATTCTATTGCAATGCTAGTTTATGTAGGAAAATCCCTTCTAATAAAAATGTTTGTTATTCACTCTTTTGTTATGGGTGTTGATCTTGAGCTTACTTCAAAAATCTATTGATATAGATTTAAACCTTCCTTTTGATGGTCATTTTCGTGAGGATGTTGATATTCCTTTCAAAAATATTGTAGGTGACAATCCCTCATATTTTCGATTTGAGGAACATATTTTTGCACCTCTTTATCACTTGGTTCCTCCATCCTTCAGGTCGTCGCACCATTCGTATGCGCCACTTGGACTATTGCTGGATATATCATTTCCGCACCAACAATTGTCCAAATATTGTAAAAATTATATTTTTTGAATTGGAACGCACTGTCCTCAAAGAACCCGGTGTTATTGTCTCATTACCATACACATGTGTCCTTAGTCATAAATTTCGTACTTATTCCGTTAATATTTCTTTTGATCCTCTAGCGCCACTGTCTAGTGAGATTGATCACACTACGGTTAAGAAAAATTGCTTTAGGTTTCAAAACGGAAATTGGGTCAAATCTCGTATTGACATTGCTCCCGATGTTGATCCCTTCGCTGATGTTGTTCCTTTTCATCCTCCTATCACATTAGAGTCTATTTATGACTACATGACCACTCACTTTGAAGATATTATTCGTCATCTTGATACCCGCTTTGTAACATCCCAAATCATGGTCAGTGACTAAATTGCAAATTTTGAAAGTTTTGTGTTCAATTTAGAAATGAAATTTAAAAGTATTGGGATTTAAGTAAAGAATTTTAATATTGGATTAAATAGCAAAGATGGATGAACTAAAGGGGAAAAATGGTCTTTTCATGGGAAAGATTTTTATCACTACAGCAAAAATAGTTTTTAGCGGCGGATGTACCGGCGTTTTTACTGCAAACGCCGGTAATTGTTTACATATAGCGGCGTTTTTTAACAAACGCCGCAAAATACTATACTTTAGTGGCGTTTGTATAAAAACGCCGCTAAAGAATCGTAATGTAGTGGCGTTTTTATACAAATGCCGCTATAAACTAGTATTTTAGTGGCGTTTTTATACAAACGCTGCTATAGACACGTACTTTTGTGGCGTTTTAATACCAAACGATGCTATAGACTCATACTTTAGTGGCATTTTTACACAAACGCCGCTATAGACACGTACTTTTGTGGCGTTTTAATATCAAACGCCGCAATAGATTCGTACTTTAGTGGCGTTTTTACACAAACGCCGCTATAGACACGTACTTTTGTGGCGTTTTAATAACAAACGCCGCTATAGACTCGTACTTTAGTGGCGTTTTAATACCAAATGCCGCAATTATCATATAACCTAGTGGCGTTTACGTAAAAAAAACATTGCTACTGAAAACTACTTTAACATATCGAAACAAAACCCTAATTTCATAGATTCAGTCTGGGCATCGAAATATATCTCCCCTCCCTTTTATCTCTTCGCATCCACTCTCATCCTTTGATCCTTCAACCTCCATTGTTCGATCCATCTTCCCCTTACATTCAACCCAGATATCTCCATCTCTTTCATTCCATTCATACATCTTTTAGACATCTCTCTCTTCCATTTCTCTCTGCAGGCACAAGGCGCAACAATGGCTTCCAAATTTCTGCATCTCTATGGTAAAATTCGGCTTTTAAATTCCTTCAGAAACCGTTTATTTCGTATTTCTTGAGTTTATTTACTTCTGGTTTTGATAGTCTACGATTATAATATCAACAACAGTGATGTGAGTTTTGAGTTTAAAATAATAATAATAATTATGGCATGATTATAATATGATTAGGAATGCATTACAACTTTACCAATGTAGAAATGTTTTAGTTTCATTTGATTGTACTAGGACTAGTAGGACAAGTGTAGAATGTTTTGTTCAATCATTTGATTGTTAATAGAAATCCAAGTGGGTGTCAGAAACTAGTTCTAGTTTAAATTTATTGTAGACACATGTCCTTGTACTGATGGTCCAAGTTAAAATCTCTTGGATTAATGGGTTATTTTCTAATACTCTTAGGTTCGGTGGTTGGGAGATGATTGGTTTCTTTACTTGAAGTAAGGTTTCGAATAGATGAGAATATAAGCTTCATCTTAAATATCCTTTTAATTTTTGCTTCTAATCTTGTTTATTTGCTTCAATTTTTGATTTTATTTCCATATTTGAGTTCTTTCTCAGATATTTTATCTTGTTAACCATCAAGCCTTTTTTTGCAGGTCTCTCTGGATCTTGTGAAAAGTTTATATGCAAAGTTTATTGATTGGGATTCTGAGATGATAGATTATGAGACTGGTATTCCTTCACATGCAACGAAGTAAGTATTTTTTCCAAGAAATCAATTAGTTGGAGTGCCCTTCTTAGTATACAAAGCTGGTAGCTAAGTTGATGTCACTCAAACTGAACATTATCTGTTCAAATGTTTGAGTCTTGTATGACTTGGCACACTTAACTCTCCTTTTGTTTATCTTTCTCCCTTTTGTTTTTACTTTTCACAACTCTTACCTCTCTCTTTTTTTCCTTACTATATTATTAAGTTTATTTTTACAACTAAAACTTTGTTATATAGGAGTTGTTTTTGAAAAGAATTATATGCAATTATTTAGCTACATGGTTGGATTATGCCATAGATTTTAGTGAATCTATATATTTGATAAAATTGGTTTGTTTTTATGTGGCAGCACAGCAATAAGTGAGGACCTTGGACAAGTTGAGTACATAATGACTGACAAAACTGGAACACTAACTGAAAATAGAATGATCTTTAGAAGATGTTGCATTAATGGCGTTTTCTATGGAAATGAGAGTGGTGATGCGCTGAAAGGTTCGTTATCTATTTTTCACCTTCTTGCTCATTACCTAATCTTTTCTCATTGAATCCATTTTTAGGTTCATATTCTCATTGAATCCATTTTTTAGGTTTTCATTTATGTTGAATGAAATTGTCTTGCTTGAAATAATCAGGGACATTTTGACTTTTTATATCTTGCTAATGAAAGCTGATATTTTATAATTGAGGGGGGTCCAAAATTGGGAATGGAGTTTAATAAGTTATTTTGCCCGTGGGCCATAAATTCTATGTTTAAGATGAGAATACAAATTTCATCTTTAACATCCTTATTTTGCTTCAAGTTCATAGCTCTTGTAAATTCTGATTTATCATTTCAAACAGTCTTTAATAAGTTAATTTTTATGGTTTTAGTTTTTATTATTGGAAATAACATAATGACTTGAAGCAAATTGCATGCTTTTAGATAAATGAGCTCAGTATTCTTAATATTTTATGATTCTTATTTTGCTAGAAATAGTTTGAAATTCATTCGGAGGATCTTTTAATCAGTTAGAGTTTCTTTTGGTTTCCAAATATTGAAGACATTTTCATGTAAACTATGATTATGACTGATTTTGCCACGGGTGCACAGATGATAAGCTGCTTAATGCTGTTGCTGGTAGCTCTCTTGACGTTATTCAATTTGTCACAGTTATGGCTATATGTAATACTGTTATTCCTATAAAGAGGTGATTCTATCTTCTATCTTGGTAGAATCTTTTAGCTGCAATTTAGAGATAGATCATAATAATGTCATAACTTTGTTCTTAATTTCAAAAATTCTGTTGCATACATTTGCTAATACATATCATCCTGACATGTTTTTATCATCTGTAGAAAAACCGGAGCCATCTTGTACAAGGCACAATCTCAGGATGAAGATGCTCTTGTTAATGCTGCTGCTCAATTGCATATGGTTTATACCAATAAGAATGCAAATATTCTAGGTAAAAATCCATCCCTTTTTTATGTAAAGAAGTTGATCGCTAGGATGATTATTTATGGTTTCCTGTATTAAATACCGTACAGAGATCAGGTTCAATGGTTCAATAATTAAGTATGAACTATTGGAAATTTTGGAGTTCACTTCTGATAGGAAAAGAATGTCAGTGGTTGTTAAAGATTGCCAGAACGGAAAAATTTTACTTTTATCAAAAGGTGCAGATGATGCAATTCTCCCTTATGCTTATGATGGTAATGTTTTTTTTCAATCTTTTGCTCATCATGTTATTATTTTTAACTTCAATCTATTTGTTTGATGGTTGATTTCATTGGCAGTTAGATTCTTGTTTGTCTGCATGATTTAATTTTTTGATGATTGTTGCACCTATGTGCACGGATCGCCTTTTTTCTTTGAGGAATATCTTTGGCTTACTGGCATAAATAACTGTTGCTATCATGCCTTGAACAATGACCATGTGCATCGATTCGAGGATGGGGTGTTGGAGGTTTGGATCTTGTAGTTAAGTCCATGTTAAGCTATATATTTGTTTCAACTTCAAGTCTCATTCTTGTCATTTCATTTTCATGAACTTATATTTTTTAGGTTTGGAATTTCTTTAATATCCTTTTTGGGACCTCATTCTAATCAGAGAAGTACTTACTAAATTTTAGAAGCTAAAAAGGTTTCTTATGGTGGCTTCTGTTGTTTTTGTCTTTATCACAGGTTATCTCCATTATGGGTCTTGATGTTGTTGGGCTATTACTTTATACATTTATGGGACTTTGACTGTTTTCCTAGTTGATTTCCCCCCGCTTTTGTATATAATTTATGGATCATGCATCGAGAATCATAAACTTGCCTTACCCCTCATCATGCTGGCTTGCTAATTTATTTATATTTTTTTAATGATTGGAAAGTTTTTTTGGGGCTTGTAATGTATTGAGATTCATCGATATAAGTTCTTGTTATTGCATGTTAGAAAAGGTAATTTTTAAAAGGACAATAGATATTAGTGACTGAATCGGTTGGTTTTCTATATGATATAATCATTACCTTTTCAGGGCAACAAACAAGAACATTTATTGAAGTGGTAGAACAATATGCTCAATTGGGGCTACGTACTTTATGCTTAGCTTGGCGTGAATTGAAAGAAGATGAGTATCAAGAGTGGTATTTGATGTTCAAAGAGGCTAGTAGCACATTAGTTGACAGGGAGGTGAAGTACTATCTAATGATCTTTTTGTGTTCTCCATTTGTTTATGTTTTACCTTATTGCACCCTTTTGGTCAAGTTTGGTGATGAGTGACTCAGTTCCTCTTATCAACACATTCTGCAGTGGAGGATTGCTGAGGTTTGCCAAAGATTAGAACATGAGTTTGAGGTTCTTGGAGTCACTGCAATAGAAGACTGTCTACAGGTGAAGTTGAGCTATTAAATCCAACTTGCATATAAAACCTTTTTCATTTATATTTAAGTCAAATATACATTATATCCATGGAATGTATTTTGGATGTTAACATTTGTCCCTTTATTTTATTTTTAATTGTTTTAGGATGGTGTACCTGAAACAATTGAAACACTCAGGAAAGCAGGATTAAATTTTTGGATGCTGACCGGAGACAAGCAGAATACTGCCATACAGATCGCCCTTTCTTGCAATTTTATTTCCCCTGGTAGGTTAACCATTTACATAAATTTCAATTCATTGTGTAAATTACATGTTCGGCTGTTTATGTTGTTTCAAATATCTAGGTTAATTGGAATGACTAGTTTTCATGGTTCCTAAATGTTTGAAACTATGCTACTTGTATGATTTGTTGCTTGGATTGAACAAATACATTTATTCAAGTTCTCATTTCTTGCATCTCTCCACATGCCTGCAAATACTTCGTGTTGTTGACTGCTGGGACTGACCATGCAGAAATGTGTTGTTAACTTTTTTAACGTAAGATATAATGGATTTTCATATAAACTGATGATTTATTTGGATATGAAACTAGAGATCGGGTTTGCATTGCCATGGATGGGGCCTTTTCAAGTGGCATGCCAATTGGAGTAAGACCTCATGAAGCAAAATATCTGTGCAAGAAATGACAGGACGATACTAGCTCTGCATCATTGTTTTCCCATATAAACTGGATTTATCTCTTTGAATTTAAGCGCCTCATTGTGACGAAGAGTTTTGAAGAATGTGTAAGATTAGAAACAAAATATCTTAGATATTATTGTTTATTATAGTTAATAATGTTGAACTACATTATATTTTACGTTAATGTAAACTTTGATTTATTATTATGGATTTCATTTTTCTTGTTATGGATTTTAAGTTTGTTGTTATCGATGTCAAGTTTATTGGAAAATGCTACAGGTTAAATTTGGGTAATAAAAGAGTAGAAAACAACATTTGACAAATTAGTTTTAATTTGCAAAATCAATTTCTTTTAGCTATAGAGAGGTAATTAGCGGCGTTTGTATCTTAAAACGCCGCTATATACCAGATCTTTTCCGGTGTTTGTGGGAAAAACGCCGCTAAATATCAAGACCTATTGCGGCTTTTGTGGACAAAACGCCGCTAAATATCAACACCTATTGCGGCGTTTGTGTAAAAAACGCCGCTAAATCTCAACACATATTGCGGCGTTTGTTGGAAAAACGCCGCTAAATCTCAACACCTATTGCGGCGTTTGTTGGAAAAAGCCACCAAATATCAACACCTATTGCGGCGTTTGTTGGACAAACGCCGCTATATATCGTTACCTATTGCGGCGTTTTTTGTTACTAAACGCCGCGAACTTTAGCGACGCTATTTGCAGCGGTGCTTTTTGCGGCGTTTGTTATAGCGCCGCATGTGTTTTTTGCGGCGCTTAAAAACGCCGCTATAGGTATAAAAAACGCCGCAAATGTACAGTTTTGCTGTAGTGTATCTTCCCTTTTTGAGTATTATAAACGTGGGAAATATGAGAGAGTTCCAGACTTATCTTCTTCATTCTCTTCTTTTCCACCGTGAAGCCATAAGCAAACGTAAGTTTCTTCATTAGTTGATTATTTGTTCAACTAAAGGTTTGGTTATGATTATTGGATGATAATTAAGCTTAAGGAAAGCTTAAATCATCTTAAAAACAAAGGATGGTGGAATTAGGAGAGATTAAAGATTTTGAGTTTTTGAATGAAATCTTGAAATAAAGTTGATAAGTTGAATTTTAAGTTGAATTTGACTTGTCAATAGTTGAATTAAGAGATTTGGAGTGATAGAAAGGAATTTAGAACATGTTGAAATTTGAATATAATTCTTGAATTTCATTAAGAGGAGAGGATTTTGAGAATTAAGATGGATTAAATGAGTACAAATGGGCTTAAGTATGTGTGTTTGAGTTTAGTATATAGAAGAGGTTGAAATATGAAGTGTTTAAGATGAAATGAAGTAAATTTCGTGTTGAAAATATGATTTATGGGCAAGGGGAATCGGTACCCATTCAAGGGAATCGGTACCCATTCAATGGGGGAATCGGTACCCATTCAATGGGGAATCGATACCCCCTCAAACGAACCAGAAATTCCAGAATCTCATAGGGGAACCGATTCCCCCACAGGAGGGAACCGATTCCCCCTAAAGGAAAATTGTGAATATGGGTTTAATAAGTTCGTTTAAGTTGCTAGTATCCAATTACAAGGTGTAAGTATCTAATAATTGCCTTAAAATGTACATTTATGTAGATTCTGAGCATAAGGCAATTCTGGAACATTTGGCAAGTAAGATCGATCAGGGGAAAGATTAGAGATCAAGATTGACTAATGAGACCAGGTGAGTGCATATTCAATAGTATATGGTGTGTGATGGGAATAACACTTGCGATGAGTCTATTTCCTGAAGTGTTACATATGAATTCATGATTAAAGGCATGAGTTAAATATGAGTGTATGTATGTTTGATTATCTGAATTGATATGTTTTGTATGTGCCATGTGGTTTATGTAAAAACACGATTAAGTGTTATTAAGAGAATATAAAATAAGTTATGAAATTATAGGAATATAGAAGATAAGTCGAGAGATGTAGGGAAATAGAAATAGATGTAGGGAAATAGAAATAGATGTTTATAAAAAGTCATAGGAGAACAAATATAAGTAATATGATAATGAAAATATAGGACTATGTGAATACATGGTTATGAGATAAAATATGTAATAATAGGAATATATGATGAAAGTGAGTTTATGAGAAGTGATATGAACTAGGTAAACATGGGTAACAGTATATGCATAATGGAAACATGAGTTGGACAAGTACATAGTGGTATGATTTATTATGAGAATTAGTATAATGGAGCTATATGAAAAGATTATAATGAATATATGAAATTGAATTAAGGAAAGAGATTAAATTAGTACCTAAATAAAAATAATATTAAATGATATATGTTTAGAAATACGACATAATTTATAATCTAAGGGAATACAAAGAAATGGAGCATAAGGTAGATAATATGATATCAGTTATTATATATCTATATGATATATGTCATCAGGTAATATGAAAGGACTCTGAAAATTGATATAAGCTATGAGAAAGTGTTCTAGGTGTTTATATGTGTTATATGAAGCATATATGATCATATGTGAACAAAATATGATATGTATGTTTATATGAATATTTGAGAAATGATCTAAGCTATATGATATGATATATGTGATTATATGCACTTTGAGACATATGTTATATGATATGGATCTATGTAACTACGTGAGAAAGTATATAAGCTATGTGACATGTAAATGTGACTCATATGAAAATGTTCTATGAGTAATTGAACTATGTGTTATGTGAAATGATAAGTATAAAAGAAAATGCCCATGTTATGTGTCTTGAGGGCTAGGGGTATAGTTGGCATGCCAAGAGTCGAGGGTCTACGCGGTCCTTCGGGACATATATGTATTCTTTGGAACATGTGTGAAGTCTGGTGAGACACATACTTGATCCTTGGCATATGTATATGATTCTTAAGGAATGATATGTGGTCCTTCGGGACATATATGTATTATTTGGAACATGTGTGAAGTCTGGTGAGACACATACTTGATCCTTAGTATATATATATGATTCTTAAGGAATGATATGTGGTCCTTATGGACATTATTATATGGCACTACGGTGCAATTCTACGCGGCACTCCGGTGCAATTCTACGCGGCACTTCGGTGCAATTATACGAGTTGTGGTGACAGCATAGTGCACAACCTCTATAGACTCACATATCTATAGTTCTCACATGTGTACATGGGCTTTGAAAAGAGAACATAATTTGATATAATGATATGTGTATTTCTCTTGACATGGTAGAAGTGCATATATGTCATGGTGATATGAGATGCTATGCGTTTATGTATTATATGATTATAGAAATTAGTAACGTATTGTGGCATATTAAAATATATATATAATATGTTTATATTCATTATATGCTCATATGACGGAATTGAAGTAATGACACGGGAATTAGTAAGGATAAACAGGTTGGTGATATGAGAACAATGTATGTGATATATGTATATGATGTGTGATATGAATTGCATGATATGATATATGTGTGATAAGGGTTATGGTATCTATTACATAATATACATGAATATATGTTGATGTATATGTAAATGAGTTGTATAATTTGATAGCATAAAACAGTCATGCATGATTAGTGGGTATGAATTCCATTAGATGTGTTTTCTTTATGCCTCACTAAGTCATCGACTTAGCGTGTGAGTGTTTCACACGTAGGTTCCGGAAAGCTAGAAGAAAAGTGAAGAGGAGCAAGATCGGTCAGTTACTTCTTACCGAAGATCAGATCAGAAAAGATGTATTGAATTAGATGTATTTTGTATATTGAAAATAATTGGCATGTAATTAATGTTTTGAATTGTATATACTCTGATTGGTTTTGCAAAAACATTTAAGCTCTGAATAGTTCTGGAAATCTTTTGAATAAGTTACATGTATAAAAGTTTTAAATTACTCACTATTTTATACAAGTAAACGTTTTGAAAAGTCAATATGACACCTCGGACTCGTATCCGGGTCGGGTACAGGTTGGGGTGTTACACGCTTTGATTCCATGGGAGATCATATTGACGCTTTGGAGGGTTGTTTATTGGGGTTGTTTCCTCCTTCGGGTCCATCTTCCTCTTCTCATCCGAATCTTGACGATTGATCATTATCATTGTATATTAAATGTTTATGATATTATTTACTATTTTAAATTTTATCTTTTGTTGAATATTTTCTATGACATTTGATTATAATTAAAATGCATCATTTTGATTATTATTGGTTATTATTAGATTTTTTGTCATTATGCTCTAATTTTACATTGTAATTGATGACAAAAGCATGCTTCCGAACCAATTTCAACTTGACTTTTAACATGTTTTGAATATCTCGAATATAACCATATTTGGCTAAACTTAAAGAAAAGTTGCAATACTAGGCCTCTAAGCTTACAAATTACGAAAAATATGTTATTTACAACCCGAAAATAATACTCGAACACGCCTATGAAGTCATGTTGCCTTAAAACTTTATGACGAAAAGCATTCTTCCTAACCATTTCCAGGGTGTTTTTTACCCCGCTTAGAATGTCTCGAATGTGGCAATATTATGCTCAACTTAAAGATAAGTTACAATACTAGGTCTTTATGCTTATAAATTACGAAAAATCTGCTATTTACAACCCGGAAATAATAATCGAACATGCCTATGAAACCATTTTGCCTTACACTTGATGATCAAAATCATGCTTTCGATCCATTTTCAGGATGATTTTTATCCAACTTAGAATGTCTCAAATGTGGTGATATTAGGCTCAAATTAAAGACAAGTTGCGGTATCTCATATCTACGCTTATAAATTACAAAAATTTTGCAGTTTACACCAAAAAATAAGACTTGAACATTCATATAGAAACTGAGGTGTGGGCTGGGAATTGACGGTCCTCGCGTTCTGCAGGGAGCGAGTTGCGTGAACTATATCTCGAGAAATTGGTAATTTCTCGCTTACCATTTCGTGGGCCTCGCATCTTGGCGAGGTATTATCTCAAACTATTTAATGGACCTACCTGAAAAGTCCAACCATGTAAGAAGGAACACACACCTTGGGGAGCGCAAGGACTGGAATTACACTCTGCAAAGTGCGAGACTGTGCTACGCGGCAGTTTGGGGGCATTTTTATAAATAATGGTCTGAGGGGGGCATTTATCCAAATATTTATTTAATGGTGCTTTTTAATATAAAATTGTCAAATTGATTACCCTTTGTTTTCTTCTTGTATCAAGTTCAAAAAGAAATTTGAGGATAATCAAATAATGATTTTAGGGTAAACTACATTATACTTTTTAATCGAGTTACTCAAATATAAAATATTATAAACTAATTTATCGAATCATTAAAAAATATAAAATAATCATTTATTGTTAAAATTTAGACGAAAAATAACTTGAACCTATTTATTGCTTCATCAAATTATAAAACAATTATTAACTGTTAATTTCTAGATGAAAAATTAACTTGAACTCACTTGTTTCATCATCTTTATGCCATGTCAATGCGAAGAGAATTTATCACCATTATCATCCCTTGGACAGCATGCCTTTATTTCTGAATTCGAAAAAATATAAAAAGGAATCTGTAAAGCATAACATATGCCTTTTTAAGAGTCACTCACCTGCAAAGCATTTCAATTTTCAAGGCGAATCCTCACTTAATGTATCTTTCACCCTTTAGGTCGGATCGTTCCCTTTTATTTTCTGGGGTTATGTAGTGATTCCATGTTACGATTAAGTGAAAGCTATTCTGAGGAATAAGTCTGGAATACAAACAAGTTTTAATGGCTGAGTCACTTAAGGATTTCCTAGAGAGTGTAGGTCCTATTTGAAGAGGAGATTAAAATTGTCTCAGATGATCAAACGATGTTTAGATTAGTCATATCAATATTTTGTTATTTTAATAATGAATGTTAAAAGTCGAGTGATCAATTTATTATAAATATGCCTTAAACTAACCCGTCATAAAACCTTGTCATTCTTGACAAAAATTATTTTTTTCGAATCATTAGCTAATTTTATATCAAACTGTCCAAATAAATAAGTCTCGTATTAGTCCACAAACCAAAATATAATCCCAAGCTACAAGTACTTTTGAAAGGGAAACCAATTTAATATTAGGTTGCAACGCCACTTATCAATCAAGAGCGCAATATAGATTCATAGGCTCCAAAAGTCCCTTGATATTTTTTTTAAAGAGACATTGTATCATCCATTTGGTTCCAATGCAGCACACCTAAAACCTCACGAGTCTAGGAGAAAGTCGCATATATTATGGTAGTTCCATATGCTAACTTAAAATAAGGGGAAATAATAACGATAGTGATTAATATTTACTTTAAAAACATTAGTGAAGAAAAGAGAAACATATTAAAATATAAATGAAAATTCAAACTTTCTATAGACTTCAAGGTGGACCGTTGGATAGGCTAATAAAAGAGAGGAGTTAATCTGATCCGTTGACAAAGAAAAGGAACACCGGTTGAAATTGTAACCGGTTACACAAAATCGATGAATACCAAACCTCAGAATCAAAAAGAAGAAGAAATCCTATCTGAAAACTCTATCAATGACTGTTCCCAAACTAGAACTCAGAGCTATCGGAAACACGGGCCTGAAGCTCAGCACCGTGGGCTTCGGCGCTTCCCCGCTCGGCAGCGTCTTCGGTCCCGTTTCCGAAAGCGACGCCGTCGCCTCCGTCAGCGAAGCCTTCCGCCTCGGAATCAACTTCTTCGACACCTCCCCGTAATGCCAAATTTCTTCACTTTAACGAATTGGAACATTTTGAAAACTTCATTTTTTTGTTTGTTTAATTTGATGAATTATATATATTTTGTGGTTAATTTGAAGGTATTATGGTGCGACATTGTCAGAGAAGATGCTTGGCAAGGGACTTAAAGCTCTTGGAGTTCCTAGAAATGAATATATTGTTTCCACGAAATGTGGGAGATATCGTGAAGGTTTTGATTTCAGTGCGGAGAGAGTAACGAAAAGCATCAATGAAAGCTTGGAAAGATTGCAACTTGATTATGTTGATATATTTCAATGCCATGACATCGAATTCGGCTCTCTCGACCAGGTTCTTAATTATCTAGTTCGATGTTTCGCTACCATGTTTGTTAGTAGTATTCATGGATCCACAATTTTGTCTAGGAAGGTGTTTGTCTTGCAAGCCTTATCTGAAAGCTTGGGTTAATTTGGTTCAGTTCGTATGTGGTAACAGATTGTGAACGAGACAATTCCGGCGCTTCAAAAGCTGAAGGAAGCAGGGAAAATTCGTTTCATCGGTATCACGGGTTTGCCATTGGACATTTTTACTTATGTACTCGATAGGGTTCCACCGGGAACAGTTGATGTGATGTTGTCATACTGCCATTATAGCATCAATGATTCAACACTGGAGGATTTATTGCCTTATTTGAAGACCAAAGGTGTTGGGGTAATCAGTGCATCTCCACTTGCCATGGGGCTTCTTACTGAGTTTGGTCCACCCGAGTGGCATCCAGCATCACCCGAACTCAAGGTGAGACTTTTATCTTCCTCAGATAAGATAAGACCACCTCTTGGATGTAATTGATGTGTAAATGATAGGCTTTAACCTGAAAAAGTTTATGTCAGAACATGGTTTTGTAAACTCTTTAAGGCATTATTGTTGCAAATTATCTGGAATTCTGGACTGTGTACTAGAGAGGTTATATATCTGGGTTTGTGGCTGTGGCATTGTGCAGTTCATTGTCACCACAACACATCTAATATTAAATACTTTGAAATCATATTTCACCGTGAACTCATATCATCTATTTAATATCTCATTTTCGTAGTCCGTGTTCTTGAATATAAATCTTTCATATGTCTTCGTAACCTTTCTCCAGTCTGCCTGCCAAGCTGCTGCTCTCTATTGCAAAGAGAAAGGGAAAAATATTTCGAAGTTAGCTATGCAATACAGCTTATCAAATAAAGATATTTCGTCGGTGCTGGTTGGCATGAACTCTGTTGAACAGGTTCTTATCCATCGTTTGACTTGAATATTACAACTTTCTGAAATCTATTTTATGGCGGATAATGGAATTTTCTTACTCAATCTTCATACCTTTAACTGTTAGTAATGTCTGGCTTGTCAATAATTAGGTTGAAGAGAATGTTGCTGCTGCAACAGAACTTGCACTGTTCGGGAAAGATCACGAAACTCTAGCTGAAGTCGAAGCAATCCTGAAACCTGTGAAGAATCAGACATGGCCGAGTGGAATTTAACGAAGCTGACCAACATCATCCAGCCGTATTTCTATTATTGTAATGCATATCTTCCCCAACACCGGTTATTGAGTCATCGGAGTGGGGGCAACCATTCTGTCGTGGTGATACTAGTATTTAGATGACACTATTTCCATCCCTGTAGGATGGATGCTGCCCAGGTAAACTTCCGACCGTGTGTCTGATGAGTATGATTGAAACAATAAGTGAGTCTATCTCATTCAATATGTGTAGTATTGTGTTTTGACTGTTCGTTGAGTCTCATTCAAGCATGTATTACTATTAGCTTGGTGGAAACAATGATTTTACAATGTATTAATAAATACCATTGGTTACCAGCAATGCAAGTGAAGTTGCATTCAACCATTCAACAAAATCCTTCATGTTTTTGTTAGATCCACCGCTTTCCCTGATGCTGTTCATGATAATTTCCTTGAGTGCCATGGATGTTGCTTTGTACTTATCGATGCCCACCACCTGTTCGACCTTATTCCTGATCTCTTCCCTTCTAATGACCCCTCTCCCTTCTCTTTCCAAACCCAACCCAACGCCCCAATATTCGCAAATATAGCTCTGGTTGAAGAACTGATCTGCAAAATAAGGCCAGCACAAGAAAGGGACGCCATTGCTTAAACCTTCAATCGTGGAGTTCCAACCGCAATGGCTTATGAAGCATGCAATGGAAGGATGTGAAAGAATCTTTTGCTGATTTGCCCAATCCACTATTTGGCCTCTACCGGCGATTCTCTCTTGAAACCCCTCCGGGTATGCATTGTTTTTTCCTTTTGTTATGTCTGATCGAACCACCCAAATGAATGGTCTCCCTGTGAGTTCGAGCCCAAGAGCGAGCTCTTGGAATTGGGCGGTGTCGAAGATTGTGAAACTTCCGAATGCAACGTAGATGACTGATTGCAGTGCCTGTTGGTTCAACCATTTCAGGTAACTTGAATCTGAATCATCTGGTTTTGAGTTTTGTGGTGCCAACAATGGGCCTATGGGCTTGATATTGGGAGCCATTGCGAATGCTGCGGGCTCAAGTTCGTAGCTTGAGTTGCAGAGCAACCAATCTGTTAACTTGATGGATTCGTTGTTTCTGATCATGAGTTTGAAGATGTTTCTTTGTGCATTGATGTTGCCAATGCAAACCCACACAAAGTTCTTTGTGTTCACTGGGGGCATATCCGGTGATAACTTGATCATCTCACTTTTAACCGGGGTTCCTGCAAAGAAAATATCTGCCATTAACAATGGTTGACAATTGAACATATAGAGATGAAGGAAACTCACCATCTTGATCAATAACTCCATCATCAATCAACTTTGGGATGCTAAATCCCAACACCAAGAGTGCAGCAGCAGCCGGACAAAAAGCCGCTCGTTTGATGCCATGTTTTTCTGCAATTTCCAGAGCCCAACCTAAGCTCTGATCTGCAATCACACAGTTTATCCTCCTACCCGATCCATTAATGTCTTCAATAAGCTCCTCTACTTTCCCTGGCATGGTCTGCGGTATTGCTTGAGATATCTTCCCCGGATGTTTCCTTTCTTCCGCCGAACCAAGCCCGTCCGGAACCGAAACGAGGTGAATCCCATCACCTACATCTTTCAATGCCAATATATCCATGGCATTTTGATGATTAAACTCCATGTTAACAAATGTGATTTGGAAGCCATGTTTGAGCAAACATGATGAAAGCTCCATTAGTGGAATTACATGGCCCTGTGCTGGGTATGGAATCACCATGACATGTGGGTTTTCCATGCTCTTTTTTTGATGCATGAAATCAGTTTTCCATTGGAAATTTATGTTAGGGAGATGGAGGAAACAGCCATTGTCTTTTCATGTTGTTGTTAGTGAATGGAATCTATACTTATTCCTTGTTAACTTCAAAGTGATGCATTGTTTCGGTGAATTATTGATCTCATTTTGTTTGCATTGACCTACTGATGATGGTGACCTTTTTGAATTGATGTGGATTTCATTATAAAAAAGAAATGCTTTTATTGAGGGACCTATTGTTTTGGGTCCAATGGTAGTTTTGGTCCCTATTAGTTTAATTAAGTCTTGCCCAATAATTTATAGGTTTAAATGCTCAATGGGTCCCTCTTTTTTAAGTTAAACAATCTAACCCTTCTCAATATTTAATCCCGGTTCATTCCCTGATTTTATTACTTGCAATATGATGAAATAAAATATTTTTAATTACGTAAGAGTTACTTTAAATTTAGTGGTTTAAAATGTAAATGGTTTATAATGATTTGAAAAGTTAGTTTAAAAACACTATTATTATGTTGGATAAACTATCTATTTGGTATCTCATTTATTCTTATGTTTCTATTTTGATCACCTAATTTTTTTTATAAAATCATATTCAATATTACATTTTATTTTTATTTTGATCACCTACCATTAAAAATTTTAAAAAAAAATTAACGATATGAGTTATTATTTTGTTATTTCAAAAAATTATTGTTACGTGTCATTTTCTCTTTCCTTATGGGTAGCTCATTTTCCCCATGACTTTTACCATACCCTCTCCGATTTGTTTATATTTTATACAACGGTAAACAACTTAACCATTATCGAGTTTCCATTTTAGTCACCAAACTATACTTTTTTACAAAATCCATAATCACTAACATTATGTATTCATCATTCTAATTTAATCACCGGCCATTAAATTTTCATCAAATTTTAGTCCCAAAACTTAAATATTTCATCAATTTAATCCTCATTCAAAATAATTCAATAAATGTATCCCTCAATAATAATCCTATCAATTTATTCCTTAAACATATCATCATCATCATCATCATCTCGATAGCAAATTGTAAATGCAATAATATTTAAAATACATTTCTTTGTTTGCAAGTAAAAACATCAGTAATCAGTGAAGAGAAATTCTCAAAATTCGAAACTTTGAGAGGTGAGAAATGAGAAGTTGAATAATTATGATTAATTACCATGGATGAAAGTGGGTAAAACTAAAGACTCCAAGCATAAAAAGAGAACATTTGAGTCCTTACGTCTTTGTTTACATATCTTAAAGTTTGCAGAACAAAATTGGTTGCCATTTGACACAATGGCAATCACCCTTTAATAGCTAAACCTTACACTTATTACCCAATTTCACCCAGCTCCAATCTCCGCTCCGAACTCGAGCTTGCCAGGTTCTTTAGCAAGAAAAAGGCAAAGTTAACATCACGTTATCATGATCAATGATACAAGCGTAGACGTCACATAAGGAAAATGTTTCAAGGAATAAAATAAGGCATAAATTCTTCTATTAGCCCTTGTACTGTGTGTAAGTCACAAATTTAGTTCCTATACTCTAATTCGATTATTGTTGTTCCTGTACTTTTTTCAATTTTAAAATTTCAATGCTGACTAGAATAGAACAAGGACAATAGGACAGTTTTGATGGGCATTTTTTCAACAGCTAAAAAACCGGATTGGAGCTAAAAACCCGGTTTTCTTTCTATTTTTCAAGGTTCTATTTGTAATTTAATGAGATTTAAACTTTTAATCCTCTGGTTTAATATTAAAGATATTGACATTAAACTAAACACATTTTTGTGTTAATTATTAACCATCTCATAATTTTTACATTTAATAAGTGTTAAAAGTATTTAAACATTAAAAAAATAAAGGAAACATCAAACCGTCCAATTCCACCTGTTGGACCGGGGAGCCGGAGATCCAACAAGTACAACCTCCAGTACGGTTTTTTAACATTTATAAGTTCATTAATTGAACAAAGGCAAAAAGGCAAGTCTCACTCACATTCTAGCAGATGATGCAAAATGGTTGAGGAACATGTAAAGAAATACAGCAAAATTATACCTCAATGGATAGAGATGTCCGAGGAGATACGGAGCTGTGCACCAGCCCCACCGCTCACCACACAATCACCCTTCCACCAATCTGCACATAATACCTAAAATTGCAGCCAGGCCACAACATTAATGAGGGATTTTATATATGTTTGCTTGTAGTGTACATCAAAAGAATTATGCGACAAAGATTAGGATCACACCTTGTTTTTGTGTGAATCAATGATAGCAAGAGGAAACTGTCAAATGAAAAGGGTATTCGTCAACAAAGATGTCCAGATAAACAAATGGTGGCATCCGGTTTGGCATGTAATATATAGCTAAAATCGTGAGAATAAAGAGAATACGATATGATACCGCTGTTCTTAGATCCCACAACATTACTTTCCCATCATAGGATGATGAAAGTAAATGAAAAGATGACCAACTGTGCCACTTGCAAGCCGAAATCCAAGAACTATGTGAAGAGAACTGAAACACGGGTGCAGATGTTCCTTCAAAAGTAAATTCTTTTAAAGTGAGATGGAAATTTCAATGGTCGTGTTTGTATGTGCAACAATTGGGTGAGAAAGGGAGGAAGAAGAAAAGCATGATATTATAGACAAAATTAAGAAAAATGGACCTGGCTTCCGAGGATCCCATATTCTAAGAACTGGATCGGAACCACCAGCAGCAACAAGAGCCGACCCTTCAGATCCTATATCAATGCAGTTAAGGACTTTGTCACAGACCTGTGCATGAGAGAGGGTGGTACATTCAAACTTTGGGGGGAAATTGTTTTCTGCCTTAAACTTTCCAAAGAAAAGAAAATAAGCAAACAAATGAATCAACATAATTGCATCTAGCATGTACCGAGAGGATAAATTCAATGTCAATCCAAATACTAAAAGCAATGATTGCTAAAATTTCAACCACAAGTTTAAAAACTTTACAGTTTGCAAAATTTCATTAAAAAACTGCATGTGTGACATACAACTCTGTAGCTCAAACTAGGATGCAAGTGTCAGCTACACGTATATTAAAAAAAATCATAGTTTTCTCATGTATTTTGAGCATCCTTGGGGGGTTATATGAGACTCATATCTGAATTATGTGTCTTACAGAGGTATTCAAAAAAAAGAAAAAAAGGAAAAAGAAGAGTCGAAGCAAAATAGATGTTAAATGAAGCCAACCTCTCGGGATAGGCAGGCAGCATAGAAGGAAGGACTATAAAAACAGTTAAATGGGGTAACAGGTATGCAATTGATGAAAAAGAATATGAAAGCAAACAAGGAACTTTGTTGGGGAAGTGAGGAAAACGAAAAACAACCAAAGAAATAGTATTCCCATCTTTCTTTTTGTTTTTATTTTTCAGATGAAATAAAATACTTTAAAATAGGACATTTAAGCACTAAAATAATGCAAGATGAATCAAATATACTCATCATATAACTAGAATGCAAATCCATACAAATATAACCATAATTAGAAGTAGAGAGGGAGAGAGAAATTTGTACTATATCAAACAAATCTTTGCCCGTATCAACATCCCATTTTCTAACCGAGTGATCCCATGATGCAGAATAAATTGTCTCGTGTTGAGGCCAAACCACACAGGAGACGCATTGTGTATGACCCACAAGTGTAGACACTGCCTCTCCCTGCATAAAACACGAAGGATGTAGAAGAAAAAAGTGGAAATTCAAAATTTATATCAGAAAAGACAACACATATAAATAAATAAGTAACATTCTTTAGAATGAAATTTTAGTCGTAAAAATTTTGGAGAGACATCAAAACTAACGATAATGATCAAAAGACATCCAAATTCTACCATTTCAAGAGCATGCAAGGACCAGACTGGAGATTAATAAATGATAAGGTGTTAAACTTATCAATTACCACAGAAAAGTGCATGTCCTAGTTTTGCTAGCAAAGAGTTTTGACAAAGCTAAGTCAGGAATTGGTTAGTGAGTGTGGAGGTTGTTTTTAGGAGCTGTGCTTTTGGCATTTTATTTTGGTTATGTTTCTTTGTTTAGGCAATCTTTTGTAATGTTTGGTAATCTTATGTAATTGTTGGTTATTAATCTACTAAGGCACTCTTTTCCTCCTTCCGCTACTTGTCTCCTTTAAAGAGACAACTATGAGGGAGGTTTTTAATGAGGCCTTCTATTCCTATAAAAAAAAAAGTTCTTATGCATGATGGTAAATAAATCAGCTACTAGAAAATCAAAATGGAGAGGGACTAAACAAAAAGGATGGCATACCTCTGATTGAGATTCTTCAACTTCATTATTCACTTTCCTTTTCTTGATTGACACCGTATCCCCATCTATACCAGAGTCATTTGTACGCCATAAATTGATGGTGCAATCCCAAGAACCTGAGCAAATCTATATCAAGTGAAGAGACAAAGGCAACAACCTTGATGTTAGAAATCAACATTATCACAGTATAATAAAGACAAAAAAACACTAGCCTATACCATGTCTCCCGAAGTCTTCGCTGCAACGCTGTGTACAGATGCATTATGCCCACGCAATATCTTGAATGCTCTTAGCCTTGCAGGTTGGTCACTAGAGTCCTCCACATTAAACTTTTACAGGGAAAATTGTATCAATTAGCAATTAATTTTCCACTTCGAAACGAATTCATTTTCCGTAATTACCTTCCACAGCCTCACAGTTTGGTCTTTTGAAGCAGTGGCTACCGTAGAACTACCTATCCCTGCATATAGAGAAAGATTTAGGATTAGACATAAAGAGACACCAAAGAAAACTGTATTTCCTAACAACCAAAACAGAAAGGATGATACATAGACTAGGCTTGGAGTCATCCATTAATATGAGATGAAAGCAATAGCATGTATGATACATTTATTACAAGAAAAATGCTTAATCAATATCGAGGGCTAAAATGTTAAAGATGAACACTACTAGCCCTAACCTTCTGATTTGATGATACTAACAGAAGAAACTACACCACTGTGTCCTTCTAGTATATGTGTACACAATCCTGCTTGTTTCCATACCCTGAAGGAAATTCCATAGAAAAATAAAGACAATGCGATTTCTGCCAATTGAACTCCTTGGAATAAGGAGTCTATAATGCAACAAAAAGAAAAGAACAAATAAACTTAAAAGTTAGAATCAGACAAGAAAAAGTCAATTTACCTTCCCAAGCCATCATAGCAACCAGTTAAGATGAACCTGCATAACGATGTTTATTAAGCAGTCATATGAAATAAGTGTAAAGCCGACGCATTCAAAGTAATGTAATCTTGCTTAATAAATAAGATCAACACCCTCATCAACAGTAATGCTACAGCAAATGCAAAATGAAGCACCTGTGTAATGGTTACATCTTGGATGGCTTACCTAGGACAAGATCCATCCACTGCACTGACCCAATCATCATGCAGACAAGGCTCTTCCTCTTTTTGAGGGGCAGCAGCTCTTATGTATTCAATTTCCAAAGTTTTTTCCTGCAATGGATCATGCATGAAAATAAGGGTTTGAAAAGGCTAAAATAAATCTTCTCAACTTTATACATCAGCAATTCTTTAGCATGAATACCCTCATTACGAGAATTTCCTGATAAGAAAGACGGAAATAATCGTCCATTTACATCACTAAGTATAAAACTGACCATTTTTTTCTAAAGAAAATAACGTGATAGGTCACAGAAACCATCAGTAGAGAGAACTAACATGTTTGACGAGGACTAAAATATAGAAATTGCACATTTCTCATTAGTTGTTTTCACAGATTCTTTTCTACCTATTTAAAACTCACAAAGCAAATTGCATACATCAAAAGGATTGAAGATAGAGAAGTACAGCGGAAATGCCCTTGGCAAGAAGAAACTCTTCAAGTGGCATACGGACGAGCTCTCCATCGATCAGGAAATCAAAAGGCTCTGTTTTCCACTCAGAATTCACTGCTCATAGCCACACAGTTTCCAACTTAGTTACAGCAAGAAACGATAATTTAACCAGAAAACTGTTAAATGAATTATACAAACAGCTCTAAAGTCACTGACTAGAATAAAGTAATATCCATAATTAATTAAAGAAACTACAAAAAAGGACACCAAACTGAACATTCTTCGAATCAAGATTAAACCAATAACCAATCGAATTTTAAACATCTAAATACATCAACTTCAACGATACTATGAATAAAAAATTCCTAAAGAAATATTAAATTACCCATAAATATGCACACTCGTATTAGCTTGAATAATGAGGTTACTACATCAAAATACGAAAATCCAAGAAAAACCCAAATCAAATTACAACAAAAATAACTAGCCTGAATACAGAAAGCACCCCATATTTATTTCTTAAGGAAAAAAAAGAACCAACATTCCAAAATGAAAAGACAACAAAAACCGATCAGTGATCCCAATGGTTATATACATAAAAAAGAAAAGAAAGATTACCAGCTTGAAGAAGCTTGTTAACAATGGAGGAAAGGCCCAAGCGATGGAGGTGCGAAGGGATGGCAATGGCTGTATTGGGAACTTTATAAAGAGCTTTTAACTTGGTTACAAATCTGACTTGGATCCTCCTTGAGTTTCCTTCACTGAGTTCGCTTCCGATCTCCATTTTCGGTGGGGAATTTGTTTAATTTGGAGAAAATTGAAACATGCAACACAGAATGTTTCAAATAGGGTTAGCGGCGGAGTTGTATGAAGAGCCAGGGGACTAGGTACGGGTATATAAAAAGCTTCAGGCATAATTATAAATTTAGTCCTTAATGTTTATATCTTTTGCCATTTTGCACTCTATTCCTTTTCTTGAATTAAATTTTATCGTCATTCTTAAAAAAAACACAAATTTGGCCTTTTTTTTTTAAATCGAGTCTCACGTTAAAAAAATTGAACTACATGAGTAGTCACTAATCTTTAAGTAAGTTTTTCTTTTCTCACTTAAATTTCAAAAGTTAAAAATTGATCACTAAAATTATCGATTCCTAACAAAATGGTCAACGTTAACAGTAATTAGGGAAGACTGTAACATCCCAAACTACGAGTTAGTGACTAAATTATAAAATTTCAGAATATGGTGATTAAAGTATAATAGTTTAATAGTTCAATGATTTATTTAGAAATAAATCCTAAAAGTTGTTAGTAATTATTAGAGGAATTAAAGGGTAAAATGGTCATTTGACTTAGAGGTGAATAAGATAATGATATATATGGGGATAAGGTTGAGAGATTTCTAATTTCTTAATTGTTTGTTGATTTTAAGCATGAGTTTTGATCCTTGGATGATATTTTCATATGAATATGAAATGCATTATTATTATTATTATTATTTATATGTTATGCCTCACTAAGTCTATGACTTAGCGTGTAAGTGTTTTACACATAGGTACCAAAAAGCAGAGAGATCCATTATAAGCTCAGCAAAACAACATACTCCATACTACACCAGATCAAAAGTTTTCACTGTTTTGTTGACATGTATACATTATAAAACACTCTAGACTTCGATTTATCTGGTATAGTATGGAGTATGTTGTTTTGCTAATAGAATGATATGTTTACTCTTATTAGATGTCCGGACATAATAGCTATCGAAGTGAAGCGGGAGATGATGGACCCGCTGAAAGCAGTAATTCACCTGCCCTGGCTAGGCAAGGTGAAGAACAGACACCTTCTGGAGTGTCTGTACGTGATCAAGATATTTTCTTCAGGACGCTAGACACTGTCCTGGCACGTTTCCAACCTCCTGCTACTTCAACTCCGATAATGAATGTTGCAAAGGAGTTGAAGGGTTTAGGAGCTCCAGAGTTTAGAGGTGAAGTCGAAGAAGGTCCTGTTGTTGCAGACCTTTGGCTTAATGATGTAAAGATTATGTTAGATGGACTCCATTGTTTTGATGTGGAGAAATTAGATGGAGTGGTCTCCTTGCTTCGTGGGCAAGCGAGAATCTGGTGAACGAATGTCACTCTGAGAATGACAAGTGATCAAGTGATATGGTCCTTATTCTTAGAAGAGTTTAAGAACAAGTATATAGGAGACCAGTTTATCAGGCAAATAAAGCAAGAATTTTTTAATCTGAAGCAGATGAATCGCACTGTGTATGAGTACGAGTGCGAGTTCAATAAGTTAAGTCGTTTTGCGGCTGAGTTGATTCCAACAGAAAATGATGTGTGTGAATGGTTTGTAGGGGGTTTACGTCCGAGGTTGAAAGAAATGTTGATAGTGCTGAACTTGTCCTCGTTTCAATAAATAGTAAATCGCGCTAAAGCTCTAAAGAGAGCTCATAAAGAAGGGTTTGGGGATAAAAGAACCCAACCATCTAAAAGAACCGGGGCTTCATCGAGTTCTGCACCGCCCAAGAGAGGTAGAGATTTTGGTTTTCAGTCTCAGGCAAGGTCTGGATCGATAGTATCCTCCGTTAGAGAATCAAATCAGATGAGAGCTAGACAGACCCAATCAATAGGTTCTGGTGAGGGCAGAGCACAACAGAGACAATGTCAGACTTGTGGAAAATATCATGGTGGAATATGTAGAGTAGAATCCGGAGCTTGTTTCCGATGTGGTGAAAGGGGACATTTTGTGAGAGATTGTCCATTGGGGAAAGGAGAACTAGTACAGTTGGAGCGATCTGCTTCGATTTCTCAAAGAATGAGAGGTAGAGGAAGAGGCAGAAGCCAACCTGAATCCTCTACTCAACAAGAAATACACTCCACTGCTCGAATGTATAATATTAATACCAATGAAGATTTTGATGATCCAGAGATAATATCATGTATCTTTCTATTATGAAATAAATATGTTATGATAATGATTGATATAAGCTTGTATATTTATATATTAGTAGTAAATTGGTGAAAGAATTGAGAATTCAATTAGATGTTATTTATAGTGATGTGGAAAGTGACGTTATTTATAGTGATGTGGAAAGTGACAAATTTACTAAGGTACAGTGTTTGGATAAATAAAATATATTGAAAGTGTCCCATTAGAATTCAGAGAATTGAATTTTCTACTAAGTTTACGAATTACTATTCAATGGATTTGAAGTAAGATTGGAAATGAACAAGCTATATAATTAGTATATAAATGTCAATTGCAAATTGAAAAGAATAAAACTAATCAGTTCATACTGATTGGAGAATATTAAAAGATCAAGTGATGGATAATATTATTTTGGAAGAGTTTACGAATATGTACATCAGTGATCAGTGTATAAGACAAAGGTAAATGGAATGATTGAATCTGAATAATGGAAATTATATGGTGTATGAGAACGAACGTGAATTTGATAAGTTAAGTAAATTATTGGGGGAATAATTTCAATGAGAAATGATGTATATTATTGGTTGATTAAGGGCTTGTGCCTAGATTGAACAGCTGCTATGGATTAGTTGTAATTGTAAGGAGATATGATTGTAATATGTAAAAAGGATCTGGAAAAAAATGTATATGAATGGCTCGATAAAGGTTTACGCTTTAGATTGGAATAGATGGTACTGATTAACAAAGTTATATGATAGTAAGTGTATTGGAGTTAAAGAATTAGAATATGATGTCATAGTAAGTTAACCAAGTATGATGTGGATTTGAATATGGTGGTGTATTCTGAGTATGAAAATATAAGGTAGTAAAGGCGATAAGGATTCGTATGATGGAGGGAAACATAAGTACAAGAGATGATAAAGAATGAGTTTTTGTATAAGTAAAGTTGACTATCAAAGTCATGAAAATGTGATAAGGAGTGGTAGTTAAGGATAAATATATGTGATATAAAATAGCATAGGAGTATGAAGAACGATATATGCTTTAGTTATGTATAAGGCAATGCTGATTATAAAAAGGATAAATGGATAAAAAAATGAAATGGATTGAGTTTAAGGGATCAGATATGATCAAGGTTATATGGAGGTGTAGATGATAAGTCCGATATAAAAGTAAGAAAAGTGTGCAAGGTAATGTACAAAGATTGTTTGATTCTGTAAAGTGTATGTTTAATCATATTTGAAAAAAAAAGATTTAAGGTGGTGTTCTTAGTTAAACGATAATGGAACAAAAGTTTAGATATTGTTATAAGGTAATTAAAGATGGATTTATGATATGGAGTAATAATAATGGAGGTTACTGTCTATATAATGAGTGACATTTTATGGATTTTAGAAAGGTCAAAGTAAAATGCATAATGGAATGAGAGAAAAGGCGAAAATAGATTGTGGTTACTGGCTACTATGTATATGATAAGTGACAGTAGATGAATGTATAAGGGAAAAAGGTAATAGAAGAATTAAAGTAAGGAAATGAAGTTTATGATAGCATGAAAGATTTATTGAAGAGGTGATATGTGAAAATGCATAGGAGACGTGTAGACAACATCTTATCTCCTTGTGCAATTAAAATTCGAGGACGAATTTTCTTAAGGGGGAGATTTGTAACATCCCAAACTACGGGTTAGTGACTAAATTGTAAAATTTTAGAATATGGTGATTAAAGTAGAATAGTTTAATAGTTTAATGATTTATTTGGAAATAAATCCTAAAAGTTATTAGTAATTATTAAATGAATTAAATGACAAATGGTCATATGACTTAGAAATTAATAAGTTAATGATATATGGGGATAAGGTGAGAGATTTCTCCAGAAATCTCTTCACTCTTCATTATTCTCCAATGTGAAACACTCAAAGCAAATGTGAGTTTTCTAATTTCTTAATTGTTGTTGATTTTAAGCATGAGTTTTGATCCATAGATGATATTTCATATGTATATGAAATGCATTATTATTATATGTTATGCCTCAATAAGTCTATGACTTAGCGTGTAAGTGTTTTACATGTAGGTACCAAAAAGCAGAGAGATCCATTATAAACTCAGCAAAATAACATAACTCCACTTGAAGGTCAGATCAGAAGAAGATTAAATAGTATGTCTTATTAGGTGAAAATAGGTTGGCATGTAAACAAAGTCGATAAATTAAGTATTTATGCTCTGATCGAGTTTTGTAATGTTTAAAACGTATTTACGTAAATGTAAATGCATAGTAATGAACGATTAAATTTTTACTAGTTTTATGTACATTTTACGAAAGTTACTGTAACAGTATTGTAGCAGTGCATCGATACACAATTTGTATTTGAAATTTTTGTGCATCGATGCACTGTAGCAATGCATCGGTACACTGTAGTATTGTTCACGATAATGTTTATACCGTATAGTACTGTTCATAAATACGTTTTTACCTTAAATTTTTATAATGAAGCATAATTTAATAGTATATTATGATATTTTCTTAATATGAGTTCAAATGTTTTGATATTTTATAAGAATATTGTTTTAAAAAGTTAATGTGACATCTCAGACTCGTATCCGGATCGGATACGGGTTGAAATGTTACAAAGACAACGGAAAGCTGATGTGACACGTTAATAGGCTGTTCTGACACTGTTTTTTTTTTCATGCAAGATAGTTGACCTACTTCCTCTCCCCTACACAGTGATCGTCTACAAATCCACAGCAAAAGGTGCCTCAGATATGCTGTAAACACTTCAGAAACATGGAAATCGTTCGCAAAAATTACAACAAACTGAATCATATTTACAAGGATGTTTTGCCTGAAAAAATGTTGATCTAATTCATCTAAAATAGAAAAGGAGAATAAAGAAAAAAAAATCAAATCTCTTACCTCCTGACCT